TGAGATAGCACCAGATCACCTACCAGATCACAGGTTAGCCTACCCAGAGTGATCTGGGGCTGTCAGAAGGCAGGCTGGTCAGGTGGTGGTTGTGAGGCAGGGGGGAGGAGGAAGAGAGGCAGGTAACAACTTCTGCAAAGTGCAGCATGGGGCTCTCAAGCATCTTCCAGCAGCCCTGCACTCACGCTGTGCATGCCTGTTCTCAGCAGGTTACAGGTGCATGCAAAGTGAGCAAGCTTGAACCTGTTGGCAACATGCTGGAGAAGCAGGTGGCAGCAGCATTGCACTCTCTGCTCACCAACAGTGGAGTCAGGAGGGGGTAAGGAGACGTAGAATCTTCTTCTCTCTCCTTGCTCCAGGCCACAGCATGTACAGTATTTAAATACATAGGGTGTATATAAAGAAGAACAGGCTGTACCTTACACCGAGTTCAGTCTGTGTTCATAGAAGCACATGGCAACTCCCATGGGTTCCCTGTTGGTGGAAGCCAGACCTACCTAGTGGACATGTTGTGCTCTGCTAGTACTTTCCCCCAAAGGAGTAAACGGCAGCCATTTCACTCTAAGGGAGAATGTAAAGGGGTGTACACAGAGGGGCATTTTTGTACCACCAATGTACAAACCCATTTTATACAGAGAATTTAGCTGGTCTTGTTCATTCTCAGTTTTTGTTTTTTGGCATGATTCTAGTCTATGACAGAAACCGAAGAACGGGCATCTATCCAGCCAACCAACCAAATTGGGTGGGAGAAGATTGGAGGGCCCAGCAGTTGAACACCATTGTTCTTCTGTCTCCTGTCCACTGCTGAAGCCATTTATGGAGCAAGGCATAGGCTCAGTTCTGGCCCACCTTCTCTTCCTTCAAACGGAACGTGACCTCAAGGCCCTGAGAAGGGACTAAGCTTAAGGAAGTTTCCTTACCCGCTTCTCAATCCAGAGGTTGGGGATGAAGGAATATTTGGAAACACATTGCCCCACCTGGAGGCAAAGACCGGATATCACTTCTCACACAAGGCCTCATTCAGCAGAGGATGGACCACTAACCACCAGGGTAGGCAGGTTTTCCAGCATTGCCCCTGAGTTGAGTGTCCTGCTTTTCCTGACAGGAATTAATGGCAGCCAGTCACAATCATTCTCCTGGTCCTCTGAATGCTCTACACCTTTCAATGTCAAGTATGACGTCCCCTCAAGGGATGAAGGAGAAATTCAGTTCAGTTCACACTGATTGCACCTGAGAAATTTAAAGAATTTAGGTGTAAAGCTTCTGGCTAACACCAAATCCATTATATCGTTACATGCCACCCCAATCTCCAGAATTCCAGAAGTTCTAGACACTTACCCATGTTTCTTCGCAATGGGGTACAGGAGAGACTGTGGCGTATTTATGATATATGGCTTATTTACACATATATTCAACCTGAGCCTATGATGGAGGGCTTCATATCATCAATAGGGTCTTGCTTCTCCCATAGCCACATAGCTAGGGTTCAAGCAGAAATCAAGCATCACTTGGTCTCTCTGGCTTCCCAGCCTGTTGCTTTCAGCTTCTTGTTCACATCACAACTCCCAACTCCGGCCTTTGTCTTTCTAACTACCAGCAAGTTGATGGAGGGTGACCCACCCATTTATCATTTGCCACAGAGCCACTTTTTGGGTACTTTAACGACCCATACTTAGGCTGTCACCTGGTAAATTCCAGGAATTTGAATCCTCACATAGATTTTAACACATGCTGGATCCAGGAATTAGAAGGGTCTTGGCATACAACCTACCCCCCACCCCCAGCTCATAACAATACAGTGGTACCTCTGGTTACGAACTTAATTCGTTCCGAAGGTCCGTTCTTAACCTGAAACCATTCTTAATCTGAGGTACCACTTTAGCTAATGGGGCCTCTGGCACACGATTTCTGTTCTCATCCTGAGGTAAAGTTCTTAACCCAAGGTACTACTTCTGGGTTAGCGGAGTCTGTAACCCAAAGTGTTTGTAACCTGAGGTACCACTGTATTATTAGATAGTATCACAGAAACTAATTTGGTATTCAGCCCCTGTCCTACTGCTCCAACTTCCCTGTGTCCCATGGTGCAGACTGCAGTCACAGGAAAGCACAATGTGCTGAAAGAGGATTGCTGTGGTTACAACGCTTTCCCCTGGCTCTCCCTCGCAGTTTGCAGTTGTCTGATTTCAATCAGTGGCAGTTCTCTCCACATGTCTGGCCATCAATCTTCCCCCTTTCCTGGATGTGTGCGTGTGTGTCACAGCATGGTGCATGTTCCAGTTAAAAAATAGAACTTCACCACAACTTTTCGCTTCTCGGTCATCGATGAGCATTCCTTTGATAATTTCATTTATAAAGAGAAAGAAAACACATCATGAAACCTCTCACTCTCTCTTCAAGGAAGTCAACCCAAAGCTCTTCAAACTGCAAGAGCAGGAAAGAAGAAGGAACAAGCCTTGGTTTATGTGGTTAGAAAGGAACTGTCTCTTGACATGTTATACATGTGATGCAAGAAACTAAGATGTCTGTTCAAAGTGCAATAAAATTCCCCCTCTGTGCTCTCTGTCATGTGCCCTCTTCAGAGTCTACTTCTCGGCAACAGCAATTAGCATCTGCAGATGGAGCCAGCTAGCATTTTAAATATTTCTGAAGGTCTCAACAAAAAATAAACTAACCTTGTAGGGCTGGAGTTAAAGATATTTTTGCAGTGAAGTGAACTGCATATTTTGTTTGAACTGAACTGAAGGATTTCTTTTTCAGCTTCGTTCTCCTTTTACTGCCAGAACAAATCAAACAGGGCACTTCCTACACTAGTGGCTTGAAGCAGTTTTTACATCAGTCCTGGGTTTCTAATATAATTATGAAAACTGGCCAGAATACTCATTTGCATTACAAATGACTCCTCCCCCTCCTCCCCCCCCACTTTGTGGCAATGAAACAAAAAGTCAGTAACTTCAACAGAAGTTGAAACAGTGTAAAAGAAAGTTTAAAGGCAAATTAAGCCTCCCAAATAAGTATGCCCACTTTCAGGTGGTTGCACCAGCTTTGCTTCAGAAATCTGGAATGAAGTTGAAAATGGAAAGAAACATCACACTGGCTGAACATATGCAGGCAATGATTCTATGACTTCCAAACACTAGGCCAGGAATCCCCAAACTTGGCCCTCCAGATGTTTTGGGACTACAACTCCCACCATCCCTAGCTAACAGGACCAGTGGTCAGGGATGATGGGAGTTGTAGTCCCAAAACGTCTGTAGGGCCGAGTTTGGAGGTGCCTGAGCTAGGCTGCATGCAGGTTTCTAGTCCTCACGAAGTCCACTAAAATAAAGGGGATTAGATGGTCCCCTGCCCTCGCCCATAGATATATGGATTTTATCCGAGAAAAGTTTCTTGGTGATCAGCCGGACGTAGGAATAGTCCCGCGTGATCCTATTACCTGTTTGAATTTTTTCTCTTGCCTGATAGAAGTTTTAACTCGCTTTTTACTTCTCCAAGCTATGGAGTTAAAAACGATTATTTTAAATTTGGCGCCCCTTGGTTCAACTCTGCTTGTAAACTAGCCAGACTCCATCTACATACAATATATAATGACTATAAACTTTCCGGCGCTCTGGCCTTACCTCCATCTTATTCCCTGGCTAAAAAGCATACAAACAGGCCCAGAAATCGGCCAAACGGGAATGGCATTTAAATCGCTGGCAGACTATAATTTCTACCGCAAAATCTCATAACTCCCGGAAATTTTGGTCCTTAATAAAGGGAAGAAACACGAAATACCCCTTAACGGTGATCCCGGCCCCTACATGGGAGCAGTTCCTGAGAAAATATTTCTCAGTGGCAGAAGCTCCGGCCACTCGCTGGAGACCTTCTAATCCCCTTCCCGTCTGGCACAATACCGACCCTGCTGAAATCCTAGAATTGATAGCTGAGCTGAAAACTGGTAAGGCCCCTGGGCCAGATTTGGTCCCTGTTGAGGCTATAAAGCTACATTCTGCATGGTGGGCAGGGATTTTAGCTAAAACGTTTGACGCAATAAATGCCACGGGCTTAATACCAGGTACGTGGAAGGAGGCCATTATAATTCCTATCTACAAAAAAGGTTCTCCCGGTGACCCAGGGAATTACCGGAATATCAGTCTGCTATCGTCCATTGGGAAAATATATGCCCGTTTTTTGCTGGCAAGGCTGATGAAGTGGTCAGCTGAGGCTGACCTGATTGGGCATGAGCAAGCTGGATTTAGATTAAACCGATCCACAACAGATCAGGCAATTATTCTTTATCACTTAGCCCGGAAATACTCGACACCTCGACGGGGCCAACTTTGCGCAGCCTTCATAGATTTGAAAGCTGCGTTTGATAGTATTCCGAGGCAATTACTATGGGATAAACTTGCCTGCTGGGGAATAGATAGAAGGCTCCTGTGGCTTATCTCCCAACTTCATGCCGGGTCCGTGGCCAGGGTAAGAATATCCCCTGCTGGAGACCTAACTAACCCAGTGCCAGTAAATAAGGGTGTACGCCAGGGTTGTATTTTAGCGCCTCTTCTTTTTAACTTATTTATCAGTGATATGAGGAACCCATTAATCGACTCACAAAAATTTATCCACACCCCCCGTATAGCAGATTATCGTTGTCCTTTACTTCTCTACGCAGATGATGCGGTACTACTCTCTTACTCCAGAGTGGGTTTAAGGAGGGCACTAAAGATTTTTGCATCATATTGCCATTCTAATCATCTGTCTATCAACCACACCAAGTCCAAAGTACTGATATTTTCAAGGAGTCGAAAATTATATTCATGGAAATTGGAGGGCACGAAAATTGAACAAGTACATAAATTTAAATATTTAGGAATTTATTTTCAATATAATCTAGGGTGGAAAGAGCACGTTGAATATCTTCAAAACAAGACAAAAGCCCTATCACACTCCCTCCTCCGTTTTTTCTACTCTGAGGGGCCTTATTCATTCCTGCGGCCTTGAAAGTGTATAGCATCAAAGTGATGGCCACAATGGCCTATGCTGCACCTTTATGGGCTGCCTTTGCAAACCTTTCACCTTTAGAGTCGCTTCAAAGCCAATTCTTACGCCGACTTTTAAAACTACCAACATGCGTAAGTAATGCGGCTATTCGCTTAGAAATGAAGATCCCCTCAGTGGAGTTAGTTTTATGGAGGAGAGTTTTGATTTATTGGATATCCCTATGGCATAAACTACCGAACCACTATCTCATTCAATGCATGTGGCGGGATGACTTTACAAATTTGTGGTCAGGAAAAATCCATGCCAAATTGCTGTCCTATGAGATCTCGCCCACGGAATTGCTCAAACTGGATCTAAACGCGGCAAAAAGGTGTATAAATCAAAGGCTGGATGATGTGGAGCTATACCAAAATTTCTTAGCTGGTGGTGGAGCCTGCTCCCCGTTAAATCTCGGCATAACCCCTATCTATCGTGCTCCGTCCTACTTAACATCGCTTATAGCCGCATCTCACCGATATGCCTTCATTAGAGCCAGGTTCAATGTTTTCCCAACAAACGTGCTGAGACATAGATTCACTAAGGGCCAAGTCCCTTCAATGTGTGCTTGTGAAATGAAAACATCTGAATCTTTACATCATGTTATGTTTATCTGCCCTATGTACAGTTTAGCTCGCGCTAGTATACTAAACTCCATAATCCAGCCTATGGCTGACAAACCAGTAGACCTACAGCTTGCCTGGGTTCTTCAAGATGTAGATCCTTATATTACTCTACAGGTTGCTAAATTCCTAACAGCCGTTCTCTCGTACAAGAGACGGAATGGAATGTTAACTGATTATTGATACTTATAAGAATTTTTGATATTGACATCAGAAATTGATTTAGCGTAGTGCCCAAATTTTTAACTTTAATCTTAAATTTCTGTTTTGATTTGCCAATATTTGTCCTTGTGAGCTGTGAATTGTGTTATATTACTTGTGGCTTGTTCGAGACCGCTGTTTTATTTGATTTGTTTTGTGTGTTGTGCTTTATGATGGGCGTAAAGCCGAATAAACATTTTGGTAACTGCATGGTCCTCACAAGGGGGTCCCTGTAAAGCAAGTCAGGCTGCCAGAATGAAGAGCCATTTTCTGAAGTGACATGAGAAGGGTCACTCCCAATTCTTTTTTCAGAAAACCGATTGTGGAGCTTGTGTGGAGCTTGTGAGGGCTAAACCTGAGCCAAGGCTGTCCTTTGAACCTAATTGCAATGCAAATATGAAGCCCTGCAAGAACGAAGGGTGTCCCTTTTCCCACAAATAAAACCCCCCACTAATTTCCTAGTAAAAAACATTCCATGTCATTTTTTTCCAGCTCAACAGTGAAAGCTTGTGATCTTCTAGATCATAAGTCCTTGGATATTGAATGAAACTTCAGTAAACTACCGGTAAATCTCACTTGACAGAAAACTTTTATATGGATCAAATTGCACTTGATATCCAAAGAATCAATCTGGTATACAACTTTGACTTGTTTTTTGTCCAAATGTGATCGGGCTGCTTCCACACTGTTGCCATTCTGGGATGGGATTGAATCCCATACTGACAAATTCAGGTTATACAATTAAAGTTGATTTGAAGCTCTTGCACAAATGCCCCCCCTCCCGACCTTGTGCAATTCAGAAAGTGGTGGGGGAAATGAATTGGAAAGTGTGGGATATTTCATTGGCACCATACCAGCAAACCTCCCAGCAATCAAACCAGGATGGATGCTCAATAAACAGCTGACGTTGTCTAACCTCTGCAGAACCAAATCAGAATCCAATCTCCTGGCAAACAAATCAGGATGGATGCTCAATAAACAGCTCATCTGGAAATGACCTGAGGGTGATTTTCTCTAGGAACCCTGCCAGAGTTCAATGGGATCAGGCTCAAAAAACGAGCTTCAGGGTCTTGGTAATACTCACCTCAAAGGAGAGGCAAGCATAAGAGAATCCCCTTCATTCACCTCTGTTTTAGATTGAAGTGTGAACTGGATTTTCGCCTGCTTTCAAGGGCTGCATTTGGGAAAACTGCTATTGGACGGAAGCACCCATATCTTGGAACCTCACACAGAGGATGGATGGTTGCCATATAACACTCCCCCCCCCCCCGGGTGCAGCCAGGTTTCAGTTCACATATAAAGGCAAACCTACTTAATTCACATCTTCTGAAACAATAGGTGAACTGAAACGCAGCCACCCTTTGAATCTTCCACTTCTCTGAATGTTGTGATGCAGCTCTCCAGCCAAGTAATGGAGTTGACTCTTTGAAATTAATGGGCCTAACTTAGTCATGTTCATACATTTCAGTGGGTCTAGCCAGAGTAAAACTTAGTTGCATACCACACGGTGTGTACAAAAATATATATGCATATACTAAGGTAAATCTTGCATAAAAAATAACATATTAGTGAAAATGAATTCCATTAGGTGAAATTGCTTTGCAAAAAATGTGTACATTAGTATACACACATGTGTCTATTAGGAGAAATCTGCACTGAAACCCCAATGGATATGAGAATGGGAGACCTAAGTTAAGATGGGAAAAATGAGACACTGAGAGAAACCAAAATTGACAGATTCATCTACCCCACGGCACAGCCTTAGAAAGCAGCCAGCCTGCACACAAAAGCTATCACCTGCACTGTTTGCACACTGAGGATATTTTCCAAGGTTGCATGAAGAGAAACTGCAGCTGGAAAGTGGGGCTTATTTTCTGTGCATTATAAAAGTACTTACATTTTTTTGCATTTTTTTTAAAAGAATAAAAACACCAGTCATTTCAGGGTAAATCAAAGGCTGTTAGGGAAATGATCGTCCATATCTAATTTTCTCCTACATAAATAACTGGCAGCAAACAAATTCAAAGCAGGCATTAAAGATATAAATGATATGATAACCTCCTTATGTGTAAAAGTGGCCCAAAGGAAAATTATATAAAACTGATAAACTCCAACTGGAACTCATTTTAGTGAGATGCCAAAAGATGCCATCTCCTGCTTTAGACAGCAAGCGATCCAAAATCCCATGTAATGTATATTCTTGCTGTAATGGGAGGAATAAAAGAACTCCCTGACAATTTATTGGACTGTCCATTGACACAGAGAGTAAGGGTATTATGCAAAGGCAGTTCTTCTCCAAACATTCGGTTTACATCTATTTAAACAATCATTTCAAGGCAATGTGTAGAGTTGCTCATTTTTTTAAATATTAACAAAGTCGTGTTTTGATCTTATCAAGCAAAATGTAATTACTTGTATTATCTCTTTTTTTAAAGCCAGCAAAATATGCAAACATATCAGATACAACAATACAACACAACACATCAAAACACACAAGTAGCTTTGGGTTGCCTATATTATTTCTGCAGGTTGCACCCTGCTTACAAAGACTGCTCAAGTCCAAATAAGGTAAAGCTTTTATCATCTCATTTCCACACAAAAAATATCATGCTCAAAGTGGCTTACAACATAGAAACAGGGATGCATTTCAAACAAACACAATAATAACAATTTTATAATAACATAGCAAAACAAAAATATAATGCATGTGATGAAAGAGGCTCTGGTCCACCAAAGCTTCTGCCACAATCAATTTATTAGTCTTAAAGCTGCTTCAAACCTCTCCGTTGCTGTTTTTGCTACAACAGAGTAACATAGCTACCCCTCTGGAAACAAATCCACGAAGTTCATTATCAGTTATCATATTTCTAACTGTATGCTGAGTAAAAACAAAGAAATTGCAGGTAATATTTTAACTTGTGCCTTCATTTTCCCCTAGCGCTCCATCATAAGTAATGTGATCTGTGCTCATTTCGCAGGACAACCTGAGTAAATTTGGCATTCATTTCAGCTGCACTAAACTATTCAATATTAACTCCTTGGCCGAGCTCAGAAACTAATGTGTGCATTTGTAAGCTCTCATTTACACCATGCAAATCACATTATTTATAGCACTTCTGCTCCAAAACGTCTGCTTTGAAAAAGTTCAGATAAAGTTAAAATAGTTTATAAGCCCAATATAATTTCATGCAAACTATATAAGGAGTCAAGTTCTATTTGGGAAATAAGGCGTGTTTAAAGCATGGCTAGAACACAGCTGTAGTCAAAACAATTCCTAAGAATGGATCCTGCTGTTTAACACAAGATACCAAAAATACAGCTAAATGTGTTAAATTGTTTAATACAAGATACCCAACTGAAATGATGGTTTCCTTAGTTATTTATGTCATCACAAAGAATCTTAGCTACCGCAATCAGTATACCTACATCCCAATCACTGCACTCTGACACTTACTTATCAATCCTGACCATAATATTGATCCTTGAGGGTAGGGCTACATGTGGTAGAAGGCTGATTTAACATATTCCTCTTCATCACCATTACCTGGGGCTATACACAGCGTATAGTTAAACTATGGAGCTCACACCCACAGGAGGCAGTAATGGCCACAAACCTGGGTGTCTTGAAAAGAGAATTGAACAAATCCATAAGAAGGCTGCCAATGACTACTAGCCATGATGGCGAAACTCTGCCTCCATGGTCAAAGGCCATCTGAATCCCAAGTGCTGGAAACTACAGAAGGGGAGAGAGCTCTTGTGTTTCGGTCCTTCTTGTGGGTTTCTTGTAATCACTTGGTTGGCCAGTCTGAGAGCAGGATGTTGGGCTACTTGAGCCAATGGCCTGATCCAGCAGGCTCATCAAACAAGTGTGTGTGTGTGTGTGTGTGTGTGTGTGTGCGCGCCAAAGACAAAACTACTATAGTTGGCTAAGATGGCTCCAAATTATTGTTGTTTAGTCATTTATTTAGTCATGTCTGACTCTTCGTGACCCCATGGACCAGAGCACGCCAGGCACTCCTGTCTTCCACTGCCTCCCGCAGTTTGGTCAAACTCATGCTGGTAGCTTCAAGAACACTGTCCAACCATCTCGTCCTCTGTCGTCCCCTTCTCCTTGTGCCCTCCGTCTTTCCCAGCATCAGGGTCTTTTCCAGGGAGTCTTCTCTTCTCATGATGTGACCAAAGTACTGGAGCCTCAGCTTCAGGATCTGTCCTTCCAGTGAGCACTCAGGGCTGATTTCCTTCAGAATGGATAGTTTTGATCTTCTTGCAGTTCATGGGACTCTCAACCAACACCATAATTGAAAAGCATCAATTCTGTGGCGATCAGCCTTCTTTATGGTCTAGCTCTCACTTCCATACATCACTACTGGGAAAACCATAGCTTTAACTATGCGGACCTTTGTTGGCAAGGTGATGTCTTTGCTTTTTAAGATGCTGTCTAGGTTTGTCGTTGCTTTTCTCCCAAGAAGCAGCCGTCTTTTAAATAGAGGTGCTTTCTTCAAAGTCAGAGGCATGTTTAGTTACGCCACAGGTGGGGAACCTCCGACCCACAGGCCAAGCTAGTCCTGTCAGGGGTTCAAATTTTACTTGCACGGCTGTTTTCCCCAAACCACACCCATCTGCCCCATGCCTGACATCACATGTGGGCAGGTAGACATGCAGCTGCCAGTGCACGATCAGGAGCCTGCCAGTGCCCTCTCAGTTGTGCACCGGCAAGGGAAAGAAGGCTTTGGCTCTCCTGCCTAGCAGCTGTTGGGCAACAAAGCTGAAGCATGCTAGAGCGGCTGTACAAGAGAGTTGCCTGCAGGGAACTTGCTCATGCAGCTGATGTCTGAAGAAAGCAGCGCTGCCCACCAACTGCTCTCTGTCCTATGGGAAACTGTATAATCCTTGATACTGATACACAGATACTGTATAATACCTGCACATAGCTTTGGTCTCTCTCTCTCTCTCTCTCTCTCTCTCTCTCTCTCTCTGTGTGT